AGCACACAGAGAGACACATATAGACACACACACACACACTGACATGCCAACTCCTCATTCATTTTATCACAGGCAGGATAATCATATGAGCTTGAATGAGGTCTACCCTGCAGTGGGCTATAGGCAACCTCCTGGGGTAATTATGTCCTAGCAGGATTTCCTTCTGAGGTTTTCATTTTGAATGTTGTGCCTTAGAGCCGAGGCTTTTGGTGAGTATGGGGACAGAAATGATGGCAGACAGGCTTCTCGAGTGCCCGTGTGTGTGACCATTACACCTTGCTATTCTATGACAGAGATGCCTCCCCAAGATCCCTGAAGAGTTCTCAAAATTCCTCTAAGCCTTCACATTTTAAGGTGGAGGACTTTTCTCTTACTCCCTTGCAGAAGCTATTCCAGGCCCTAGATTCTCAATTACTGTTTACTAGCAGAACTCAGCAGACATGGTGTCTCCTAGACTCGGTGTGCTCTGTTGTATGTGGTCTCTACCGTGAGACAGTAATTAATCTACTGCCGTGGACTCCTCGTACTTCCCTTTGAGTTCCAGGAGCTAAAGAGACTTATTGAAAACTACGTTCTCAGTGTCATCCCACCATTCTGTTTTCACTCTGGAAGTGGAGGCCACAAAGGTGTGAAAATGTTCACAGATATGTAAATCAAAGGAGGACGGGAAACTGCGTTCATCTTCCAGCTGGCGTGCGGTTTTTAAGCGAAGACACCTCAGTTGGCAGAGCCCTTCTACAGGAGTATAAATTGATCTGGAGTTTCTGATGGAAAAGTTGGCACGATGGAATAAAAGTTATAAAAATGTGCATATCCTTTGACACGAAGCTCCTGTGTCTAGACAGTTTTATAAGAACCTGATGGCTGTATACAAAGATACACATGTCAAGATCTTTATCAAAATGTCACTCAGGAAATATAAAAATTGGAAATAAATTTCAAGCAATTCATAAAGTCAACTTTCACACCATGCAATCTTGACTGACACAAAAGGTATTGACACTGTACCACAGTGGGCTGCAAAAATATTATGCATATAATTATCCCAATGGATATATACTACAGTGTATTTGTGTGTATATATTATATGTGGTGTGTGTGTATGTATGTGTGTGTGTGTGTGTGTGTGTGTGTGTACAGAGTTGGGCAGGAAAGAGCCAGGATCATCACTACATTATATTACCTGTGGCACATCCACAAAGGATATTACAAGTGGATTAAGAATTAGCAGAAGAAAGGTATAGAGTCCAAAACAGTTGCTTTGTGGTACAATTTGCCCTGTGAGAATGGCCAATTGTGTTCTCACTTCTCACTTTGGTGAGCTGGTTAATGCCTTGAAGAAAGCTGATATTTAGTTTCCTAATAATAAATCCAAAACCAAACCCACACGAGTCTTGGGGTCAGCATCTCATAAGCCTGGGCAGCCCTGTACCTGCCCATAGACCTAGCTGCAAGGTCCTTAATATTCTGTGAGTTTATTGCCAAGCACTTTCTGATTTACACTAACATAATCTTCCCACTAACCCTATGACCTTGCATAATCAAGACCTTTACTGGTGAAAACCCCAAGCTTGGAAGACTCAGTGGGTTGCGTAGGTCACAGGGCAGTAGGTGCCAGAGTGAAACGCAGCTCTGGGCAAAACCGTCTCTGTACCACAACCTCGAGGGTAAAGTTTGGTTACCTGTATCTCCACCAAGGTGGGCTGGGTCACTTGAAGCACAGAGGAGAGATTAATATAATCAGTGTGACCATACTGGCAAAAACAGTAAATGAAGAGGCTCAGTGACCCCCAAGTCCATTTTGGGGGTTGAATAAGGTTTGGGTTTAAATAGAGGGCAAAGAGGCATATACAGCTAAGCCATCCTGGTTAAAGTGTGGTCCTGCCTGGCATCTTTGTCCCTGCCCCAGTGTCTCTTACAAGGTGCTCTGAAAAGTTGTCTGTGTTGTGTGAAATCTCTACAGGACAAATTTCTATTCTGGCTTCCTCCAGGTTCCCAGCATGAGACCTCTGGGAGAAGCCCAGTCCTTTGGGGATCACTGTTGAACGATCTGGTAGCCTACGGGAGGACACAGCATGGTGCTCTCTTTAGTCTGGTAGCCTACAGGAGGACACTGCACAGTGTCTCACTCTGTGTCTTCATCCTTGCAAGCATGGTTCCCATTTTACAGTCAGAGCAGAGCACCTTTCAGGAAATGTCTGTGACCTGTGACTCCACTCCTCTCCTCCGACACAGGTGGGCAAAGAGGAAAGGAACAAAATGTCCAATATTCATTTGGATATGTGTTTACAAAGCCATGCATCTGAAAAATAGGAGAGAGGCCCAATGAGGATGGTGTTTTACAAAAATACCACTATTCCTATAACTTAGAGCTAAGTGAATATCGGCACATACGCTGTCTTGGGAGCCTTAGAGGAGAGATTACCATGAAAACCATTGTTTCCTAGATACAAACTTCAACTCAACAAATGTGGTTGAAATAACAAGGAAACAGGGACACCAACCTGTTTTACACACATCTTTGAGATGACTTAGGACAAGATAAGCCAGGAAGAGCTGGTCACACTGCCCCGTGACCTGGTCAAGTGACTCTGGAGGTGTGTCACAGAGTCGTTTATCCAGCCTCACGCAGGGCACTGAGAACACAGACAGAGGCCACGGCACTCTCATGGACAGAGGCTAGAAGCCACTCTTGGTAAAAGCCATCCACTCATCACTGGAGCCCCCCAGCTACCTAGAAACAGCACGAAGCATCTCTATCTTTGTTGCGTCTGTCTCCTTTGTCCTGGCTCTGTCATCTGTGTGACTCTACATAGCCTACCTCATAGCCCACCATATCACATCGACTAGTCATTGTCCTGACCCTGCAGTTACCTCAGGTTCCAGGAAGAACAGAGTGGCACGGGACAGACCTCTCACCACAAGGACGGATACCACAAGAGGGACAGTGTACCCTGGGGTGGCAGTGCCCAACTCATGGTGAGAGCTTATGCCCCACACTGTGAAACACTAAGGACATCTTAGACACTTTGCAGAACCAATGTTTCAACTGACCTGCCAGCCCCACCTAGACCAGAATGACTAAATGAAACATGCTTCTTGTCCCCTGTCCCTTGTCCCCATTCTTTCTCTATTGAAAGCTTAAGCTTATGTCAGTACCCTGAAGACAAACCTGGGGTTACTGGGTTTTTCTTCTTAGCACCCTCTTCTCCTTGCCGTTCAATTTAACTGACACATTGGGACGCTGGGCTGCCCTAGCATGTTGGAGATGTCAGAGACAGGGTTTTTGTTCTACAAGTCTGGTTATAGTCTGAGTGGGTCACCTAAAAAGCCAACACAGGTCACTCGGAGGACAGAAGAACCAGACCCGGAAGCAGCTTTGCAAAACCAAGTGGGATACCATCTGTCTATTTTACCAATAGCTATATCAGATGCTGGTCTTCCTCAAAGAGGGTCCTTGAGCACTCATGACTCTATGCTGCCCCTAGGGACTGTCACTGCCCACTTGGGTCCATACCCTTCTGCTTTACTTTCTCTGTAGTTCAAAGAAAACTTGAAAATATAGATTGACAAATATAATGAAAAATCATTAGGGTTCAGTCTCAGTGTGTGGGGTTTTTAAGCGACATCAAAAGCAGGGAGTACTGGGTCTCATCCTCCATAGCTGGGAGTTGGCACCTGCTTGTCTGGGGGCTCTCACTAGGGTTGGAAAGCTGGTCTATACTGTGACTGAATCTACTTCTCAGAGGTGGGAGGGAATCTGAATCCCTACTAGCTAAGGCTTTCTTTTTATGTCCTGAGGGGGACACCAGGAAGAGTGTACCTCCCGGAAGAATTCAGGAAATTAGGGCAGCAAAGAAGTGTGATTAGGAATTTAAAAGAAAAATCATCTTGTACCAAATTGGCAGAGAGGCCACTTTGCCTTTTCTCTAGACTTATGCCTGTGACTGCAGAATCATAAAATCAAAACCACCTCACGCCTCCTGAAATTGTCACTGCGGAGTGGCGGTCTTGTTTCACACAGTAAATGAAAATGGATTTCTTTACAGCTCAGACAAACTGGGGAGAGAATCTTACGTTTCCTTAGGGCTCTGTAGCAGTCATACAACTTACAGAAAACCACGACATGGGAGCAAAAAGACGTGCAGATTTTACTGTGATGGTATCGGTGGATATAGGTTCAGTGCACATCTCCGAGGGTGTTCCGAGTTCTTATGTCCCAGAACAAAGAACTGAAGAAAGGCAAGCAGTTAGAGCAAGGGCAGGGGAGTTCATGTGAAGAGATCTCATTTCCAAGGAAGAAAGGAGTCCAAACCAGACGAAGTCAGCAGCACAAAGCTCTACTCCACAAAGAGATAGGGAGTTAACGCCGCATAGCGTAGGTTGGGGACCATTTGCAGAGTTAGCACAGGCTTCATGGAACGTGCTTTATCTGCTAAGCACAGCTCTACATACGACTTCCTGTGTCATGTGTTTTATGAGCATCGGAGGCCTCCCCCCCCATGAGCCACAGGTCACCTCCCTGCTCTCCAGAGCCTCTCTGTGCCCTCATCTACACCTGCACAGATGTCTAGATCTAGACGCCTCAGCTAGAGTGGGATGGGGCAGTCCAGCCTCCTACTTTGTCCACCCATTCTTTACGTATGACCATGCTTTGCAGCCTTCCCACGGGGCTTTCCAGATCACAGCCCCCATGCTATTCTTCTGCCTCATAAGTCAGCTTAGTCACTGGTCCTCCCCTGGGAGGTGGCCTTAGCCCCAGGGCACCCTCATTCACAGCAGGCTGTCACCACTCTAAGCAAGCTGTTGCTTCTGACATGTATTGTCACAAGACAACATGGCCGCAGAGCCTTGCTTGAAGTTAAGAGTGGCTTTGGTATTTGCCAGCACGTGCTCTGCGTGCTCTGCGTGCTCTGCGTGCTCTGCGTGCTCTGCGTGCTCTGCGTGCTCTGCGTGCTCTGCGTGCTCTGCGTGCTCTGCGTGCTCTGCGTGCAGCTGTATTCTTGCTCAGTTGTGTTGCTTGTGTTAGAGCAGCCAGTGAGAAGTCAAGAAGGCTCCCAGCTGTTTCAACCATCCTGATAGCCGAGAGGACCACATTGGGTAAAGGGCAGGGGTGGCAGTTGGAGTGATGATTGCATTACTGACCAAATTCTGTGGGGACCCTGAAAGCCCTCTTTGCTATTGTGACTTAATGGCAGTCTACTTTTCCTATGATTGGTCCTCTAAACAGTCACTCAGAGTCAGGAGCTGGGCTTGTCCCACCCTCTGATCAGACACGGAGGGAAGGTCCCTCAGATCCCTTGACAGAAGTTCCCAGCTCTTGCAGGCCAGACAGATGGAGCTGGCTCTCACAGGCTGGCACTGTGACAGGGGCTGAGCACGAAGGTTGCATCCAGCCCTCGACACCCGGGGAAGAATTCCCAGTCCATGCTGTTTAGAAAGAAGGCAGGGAATGGCTCTCCTGACCCAGCCTGAGGCTCATCTCAAATCTACGGCATTTCAAACATTACATTAGTTTTATGCTTTTTCTTCTTAATGACACTGCTTGTCCAGTGCAGATTTGGGGGGAGATGAACACCTGTGGTACAGCATCGCACAAACATCCCTGTAGCTTCTGTGATAAATGATGCTCTGTTAGTCTTCATAGCTGTAAGGGCGTCTGTGCTCTACTATACTCTGGCATGGTTTGGGATGTGGCATGGATTAGGATGAAGGGAGCTAGGATGGAATTAACAAACTTCAAGTCATTGTTCCTATGAATCCCAGAGAAGGGCTTTCTATGCAATTTTGATGGAATTTCTTTTCATTCAGAAAGAAGAATGCAACACACATCTAAGAATGGAAAGGAACAGCCGGGCAAATGAAGAGAACCTAGCTCACCTCAGCAAGGTATGTACCCTGCCCAGGACCTGATTCTGCATCCGGAACTGAGAGCATTACTGTAAAGGAGTGAAGGGGAGCCACGCCCTAGTACCACCATCACTTCCATGTTTCATCTCAACCCCGTGTATTTGTAGAAAACACCAAGGTCATGGCTTCCTCTTAGAGGGTTAGAACGTGGAGGTAAAATCCCCCTTCCGGAAGCAGACTGCTGCAGTTTCTGAGGAAGTTGGCTAGGAGGACAGCCATGAGTCTTGAGCCAAGCTGGACTACTCACTGAGACCCTATCTCAAAAATAAAGAAGGAAGGAGGGATGAATGGGGAAATGGCCTTACAGAGTCATTTGGAAGAGAGGGGTTACTCCATTCACCAAGGCTGAAGAGCAGGCCTGAGACACCTACTTTCCAGTCATTGGTCCTTTTATTGCTGTGTCTATATGAGGCTTCCTCTTTAGCTTCTGAAATAGAACAAAATCATATAATAAGCAAACCCAGATGCTGGCTCCTAGATCTTAGACTTCCAGGCCTCTAGGACCTTGAGCCAGGAAGTGCCTTTCTATTATAAATTATCTAGCCTCAGGTGTTTTGTTAAAGCAGCACAAAATACGCATGTAAGTAAGTCTTAACCTCGTTTTGTTGTTGTTGTTGTTGTTATTTCTACTTCACATGTGCCTGTCATGAAAACAGAACTACTGGAAATATGGCATAAATCCTCCAATAGATTAATCAGTACTCAGAGAAACGTTGATGTGGGAAAGTGAAGATCTCGAGATGGGAACAGAATAATCAAAAGAGACAGTCCCTGGCTTCATCTGTCTGATGTCACGTAAGCCCGGCCAAGTACAATATGAGGTCCTATCAGGGGTCTGGGAAACTTCTACTTTTGGCTGTCCCTTTGTAATCTGCTACTGTGTGGCCTGTGACTCTGTGCCTGGTAGAGGGCCTGAAGCTCTTGTAGGCTGGCAGACCTGACAAAGTGTGTGGGAAATGGGAAGTATGTGTGGGGGGGGGGCTGCTTGAGGTTGACCAGATGGCCCCGCTTGTCTTTCACTATGGCAGCTCAACATCCACTTGACTTCTGTATCTCATGTCTTACAGCCCTCAGTTGGATCCACGTGGGGAAGAGAATCTGGGAAGTGCCATGGCTGGCCCAGAACAAGAGACACAGTGTGGAGTGAAGAGAGCACAGTGGCCGACTGTGTCTGAGTGGTTACAGGTCACGTGGTGTGGCCTGCAGGGGACAGTGCAAGAAACAGCAGCCCTGCTTTGCAATCAGGATAGGCAGCTGGCCAGTCTTCTGAACGAGCAGCAAATAACCCCCTTCATTCTATCCAGTGTGTCATGGAGACAGAAAGGAAGTCACTTAACCTGGTCCTTTACCTGGGTGCCAACCCTGTGCCATCGTTCAAGCACACTGTTAAAGTTAACACTCTTACCATCACTTCCCCGAGCAAAGACTGGAGCAAGCATGGTTACAGGGAGTTATAAAGCTGTCCTGCAATAGCCAGGGTTTGGGGATTGTCAAGAGGCCTCTCAGGAACTGGTCAGAGCAGCAACTCGTCTTAGGAGGGAGGAATGTCTGTCACTCAGACTTTGGATTCTGAGCTACTCTGGGTTTGCTTTTGTTGTTTTTCTTTTATTGTTGTAGTCAAGGGGGATGGTTTAATTATTTCTTGAGACAGGGTCTTACCATGTGGCCAAGGCTTAGCTCCAACTCTCTACATAGCTAATGCTGCCTGAAAACTTGCAACTTCCTGAGAGATAAGATTACAGGCACATACTACACACTCAGCCTCTGCATGTCTTTTTGATCCCATCTCCAGAAATGAGCATTCCCTGCCCTCCATGAATGTGGCAGGAAACACTCATGTTAGTCTCTTTATGGGTCTCTTTTTAGTAATTAAAACCTTATCACAAAGAACTTGAAAACTAAAAACATCACACACTAGCATTCACCATGTGCAGAGTCTGGAAGTTTCAGTGAATGTCTGCTTGGTTAGAACAGCCCTTCTCAAGTGGCACAGCGCTACACTGCAAGCCACACCCTCACTGTTGAACTTGTTCTTATACACTCATCCACCACCAAAGCCCAAAACTCCCACAACTGGGTTGAAACTAGAGAAACAACTAACTTTATATTCTTTCATGAATTGTGTCCATCACCTGCATCTGGTCCTTCCTTGTTCCCTAATATCTATCCTTTTTATAAAATATACTGTACCCACAAATACATTTATTTATATAGATACATGGCTAGGATGTGGGCCCTACTATTCAACTCTTAAAAAATTCAAAGGAAAATGGATACACTTAGTAAGTACAACACTAAGAGACCACACAACCTCAGGAAGAAAAATCCACACACTCTCCTCACAGGTCTTAAAACATTGACCAGCCTATTGGAACCCCAATTCTAAACTCCTGGTGGGGAGACAACATCCCCACTGACTAAGCTTGAGGAGGATTCTCACATGCTCCGCCCTATTCCACGAGCATTTTACACAAGAACGTTTCATAGGTGCTAAAGCACCACACAGACAGAAGACCGCATGGGATCGTTTCCAGTAAGAACTGTTCTGAACTGTGTAAAAATTCCAAGGAAGGCTGTCCATCTCAGGACAGTGCTGTCACACAGAGGCCGTGTAGTCAGCCTGCACATTCCAAGGGTGCCACCCCCCCCCCCCGTCCCTCATCAGGTCTGTAAGCATGACAAGCCCCTTAACTCACGAAGCCCAAGGAAGTGGTAGCGTTGGTTTCATGAGATTTCCAGGCAGCATAATGGAGGCTCACATGCTGAGGACTGTGCAAGTTACTTCCTCTGCTGCATAAAACACTGACCAAAAGCAACTGGAGAAGGAAAGATCTTACTTCTGCTCATAGATCATGGTCCATCGTTAAGGGAAGCCAGGGCAGAAGCTGGGAGCCTGGACCTGAAGCCAGGAACTGAGGCAGAAACCATGGAATAACATAGTTTGCTGGCTTGCACACAGGTTCATGATCAGCTACTTTTATAAAACCCTGCCTAGGAATGGTACTGCCCACAGCATAGTAGATCCTCCTATATTAATTAATGTCCCACAGACAGGCCAATCTGATGGAGGCAAGCCCTTAACTGTGGGTCTCTCTACCCAGGAGTGTCACACTAACATCCAAGACGCACCATCACAAGAACTCTATCCAGGCAGGAATGATGGCATTGAAAATTGTCCTGGTTATGACAAGGATAGTAAGCTGACAAGAACTTTCTACTCTCAGACCCCAGACTGCTCAGGACTTGTGGTAAACAGTCCCTGCTGTCCAGCCTGCTCTGTGTCCAGTTTGCAGGAGGATGATTTTATCCCTTCCTTCTAAGCATGAGCCCTAGTCAATAAATTACAAAAGGAAATGCACTCAGGTACCAAGAAAACTCTGTGCCCAGAGTGATGTGCGGAGGACTAGCTGTGTGCACAGTGATGTGTGGAGGACTACTGTGTGCAGAGTGACCTGTAGAGGACTACTGTGTGCAGAGTGACCTGTAGAGGACTAGCTGTGTGCACAGAGTGGCGTGATGTGTGGAAGAAGTGACAATGATTCGCATGGAGCCTGACTTGACAGATGCCATGGAGAGACTGACTTGCTGTCAAGCTGGACATGCAGTTACGCCTAACACCATGACTTACTCCTGATACCTTGTCAATTCAGTTCTCTTAAATGGATTGGCTACATCTACATTTCCTTCTCCTTCCCCTCCCCTCCTACCCCCCCCCCGTGTGTGTGTGTGTGTGTGTGTGTGTGTGTCCATCTGCCCAATGATGCAGGATTTCTATTAACTGGGTAACTACAGAGACCCAGGGACAACACAGACATTTAACTACTTACTAAGATGTCAGACGGAAAAATTAGCTCAGTGCCTTGATGTGAGAGACATACAAAACACATTTCTTTCCTTCCAAATGCTCACACTGACAGAACGAGTCAGAAGGTAAAAACAAAATAAGTGGCATGTAGGCGATGAGAATTTACAAGAGTACAAGAAGAAAGGACAGAAGATGCATTCCAGCGTCCACATGTCTGTCTGTGTGTCACCTTCTCACAAAGACCTTTGGCCAAACTAAAATACTCCACCTTCCTATCCTCATGACCATTCCTGCAACTGGTACTTCAAAAACAGTTTTTTCTTCACAGTTGTAGACCAGGATGAGTTTTTCCCAGGCCAATGGCCTTGGTATCAAGGCTAGTCAAGGAGGAGTACTTGGATTGCAAAATACACGGAAGTACCTTGCCAGGGTGGAGGTAGATAGCATTCCTTACTCTAGCCTTCATACCTAACAGGAAGGGGTGAGCCATTCACTTTCCTGCTGGTCTTTCCCTCAGAGAAATAGTGCTACCCCAAGGCCCAGCTTCACAACTAGAAGGTGAACCTACAAGGTCAGAATGTTTCTACCATGATTGGTAGGAAGACCCACCCAACCGAGGGTGATGCCTCCTGGTAGATATGGCATGTGTCCAAGGAAACGCCTGGCAACAGCCCAGATAGAGAGACACTGATGAAGGAATCTTTGTCTCTTGCCTGTTTGCCCCCACTCCAGATGAGGACAGCTGTGGGATCTGATGAACTATGGCATCCTCTGTCTCTCTGGACTCAGAAGTGAGTGACTACACTACATTCTGTAATCAATGTCATAGATCCTTGTTTCACACACACACACACACATACACACACAACATACCATCACACAACATGCACAATATACACACACACACCACACATACCATCACACACACCATCACAGGATGGGGGATGTCCTCCTTCTATGTATGTTTCTCTTACTGGTTGATGAATAAAACATTGATAGGTATATTTCTCCTCTCGTTTAGGTATTGTGTTCATACAGCTCATTAAAAAATGTAATGTATAATTAAATACAGATTATAGATAGTCATCTATAATAGTCAAAACTTATGTTAGTTATGTTTTCTAGCGAGATGTCTCTGTCAATTCTAGTGTCTATATATTATCCTTCTGAGGTCTTTGATGGAGTTGAAGACAGATAGTTATGGTTATGGTTAAAACCTTTCTTTTTATTTAGCCAGAAAAGAGGAGAGATGATAGGGGAAGTCCTTCTGTGTATATGTTTCTCTTGTTGGTTGATGAATAAAACACGGATTGGCCAGTAGCCAGGTAGGAAATATAGGTGGGGCTACCAGATGAGGCGAATGCTGGGGAGAGGAAGCAGAGAGAAGCCGCCAGGGAGTGCCGGGAGCAATCATTGGAATATAGGACCTCTTGTAAATATTGCCAGTTGGGGAAGATCCTAAATAAGGATAGCATAATAGAAGCCATCTTTATATTCCTACTGTATTCTTAGAGTCTAAACAGTTAAATTTCTATGTCTCTGTGCCTACTTATCTTCCTGTGCAGCAAACTTTCAAGGCCTACAGTCCAGGCTCTCCCAGCCTTCTGCCACCTGGCCTGCAGTCCAGACTCCCCCTGCCACAGACTTGTGTCCTTGGAACACATCCTGCCAAGACCAAGATCCCTGCTTCAATCCCTCCCACCTAACTCTCCCCACACCCGCCAAGCTTCCTGCTTCAACCACTATAAGAATCCTATGAGAAAATAAAAAATTGCAGCTTGATCAGAGAGCCTGTCTTGCTGTCTGTCCTTGTGTCTCTTGTCCCTTTCATTCCAGGTTCCTGTGGGCTTGGCATTCATTGTGCCCTGCTGGCCAGGGCAAGGGAGAGACGCCATGTAGCTACTGGGAAGACAGGATACCTGGGCATTCTCCAGTAAGATAAAACCATGTAGAAATACATAGTTTAGTATTTATGAGTTAACAATTAAGAGAGAGTTAGCCAGTAAGAAGCCCTGGCCATTGGTCAGCTTATAAATTAATATTAAGTCTTTGTATGTTTATTTAGGGTCAATTGGCTGTGGGACCAGGAAGAACAGAAACAGAGTCTACAAACACACACACACCATCACACACAACACAACACAACACACACACATACCAAACACACATACCACCAACCATCAGACACACACACACACATACCCACACACACCACACACAGATACACACATACCCCACACATACCACACACACTACACACACACCACATATACCATACCACATCCCACACACATCACACATACTGTCACACACACACAAATACCACATTTACCACACACACACACACACACACGCCACATCACACACACCACACACAATCACAAATACTGTCTCACACACACATGCACCACATTACACACACACCACACATATACCACACACACACACACACACACACACACACAATTCTATCACTTCTGTCCCTTTGAAGAACCCTGACTGATAAACCTAATAATGTAAATTAGTTTAATTAAAGCCCAAGTCAAATTGCCTAAGCTTGAAAGGAGTCTGAGATCGGGAACTCATGAGGTTCTTATGATACAAACTTTCAGTGCATGCATGAAGCCATGACCACTGAGAAAACAGACAAAACAGAGCAAAGGTGAGTGAGAAATAAATAGTCACTCAGATCCCAATGTCCAAAGCTAGCACCTGAGGGCATTTTAATGTTTATTTTATTTTTAATATTTATTTTGTGTGTGGAGATGGGGGTACCTCACCATGCGTGTGGGGGCCAGAGGACAACTGGAGGGGATTTGTTCTTCCCCTTCCCGTGTGGTTCCGGGGAAACGGTCTCAAATTGTTATGCTTGCTGGCGAGCGTCTTTACCACTGAGCCATCTCATCGGATGTCAATGTTCATTCTACAGAAAGTTATAGCAAAAGTTATGCTGTCCATAGAGTCCGTAACTTGTGTTTTCTTTCCATAGTGTCATGCTTTCACCAAAAACATCCAAACTTTTCACCCTTAAAGAGATTTGTTTTTATTTTATGTGTACGAGTGTTTTGACTGCAAGTATATCTGTGTACCCCATGCAAGCCTGGAGGCCAGAGGAGGGAACTGTATCCCCTAGACCTAGAGTCACAGACAGTTCTAAGCCACCATGGGAGTGCTGAGAGCTGAACCCAGATCTGTAAGCAGCAGGTGCTGAGGCAGGGAAGTGGATAAGGGATTCCATCCCTAACCAAAATATGTGCTCTTGATATCCACTGGCATAGGAAAATTAGTTCTCTCCAGTGGAGTGTCGCTGAGTGTATCAACTGTACTCCAGGGCACGCCCCATGCCCAAAGGTAGTTGCCAACAAAAATTAAGTTCCATGCTTGTTGTTTGGTTTGTGTGTGTGTGTGTGTGTGTGTGTGTGTGTGTGTGTGAACTTTTTGTTTCATTTTGCCTTGTTTTGGCTTTTTTTTTCTCATTGACATTTTACTTGTTTTTTTTTTTGTTTTTGTTTTTTTTTTTTTGGTTTTACGAGACAGGGTTTCTCTGTATTGTTTTGGAGGCTGTCGGCTGTCAGTCCAGCCTGGCCTCGAACTTACTTGTTTGTTTTTATTTTCATTTTTGTGCTTTTATATTTGTTTGCTTTGTTTGTGAGAGAGAGAACATAAAGTTGGGTGGGCAGGAAGGTGGAGAGTATCTAGGAGACATTGGAAAAGAAGAGACATACAATCAAAATATATTGTATAAATATTTTTAATTTAAAAAATAAATCAATTAATTAAAAAAATAGCAAGCGCTCTTAACCAATAGTCATCTCTCCATATGTAAACCCTTATGATTTAAAGTCCAACTTAAATCCATGTTAGAACTATGCCAACATTCATTCTATCTTACTCATCCTTATTACATTCATTTCACAATAGATGATCTTCAAATGTGCGCCTCACTTGCTGTTATAGCTTGTTATGTAGCATTCTTGTCTCTTTTCAGTTGCTTTCCAACAGTATTATCCTAAAAATGGTAATATTGGATAGGGCTATGCCAATATATTTCAGACCATAAAATTTTAGATTATAACACACTGCCTACCAAAAGACAGTCACTGTTATCAATACTCATGTATTTCTTTATCTTTGCAAATAAAAGCAGCATCAGGACCATGTCTATACAATGTTTTGATGCCCTCTTACCCTGGCTTCCCAAATCCCCAGGGTTGGGAGGGGTGGCGAGTGGGATGTGCTGTCTAAGCTCTGGGTTTGAGGACTGAGGAGCAGGGGCAGACCACACCAGCTGTTTTCTGAGCAGTCTGGCTTGAGCCAGCTACCTTGCTCACTGCACAGTCAGCATCCTCCTCCCAGAGCCCCACTGGAAACAGTCCACAACTTCACTTCCAATGTATTCTGTCCAGCTGGATTGGCATCTCTCCAGGGACCCTCAGCCTCACAGAAATCAATGCTGCGGCGGTTGCCCACTCTAAGAATAATCTCTTTAAAGACTCTTTGAACATATAAAATCGATAACAAAGCGATCATTGCAATCTGTATAATT